TCCAGCGTCCTACACCCTTCTTCAAAAAGGCTGAACGAAATTTCTACCCCTTTTACGACCCCCTTTCTCATCCTTCCCACAACCTTCTTGATTTTCCCATCTCATCTTTGCAGAAAAGTTCTACTTCTTCAAGAAAAAACGCGGTCAAATGGAGAGGTGGGGCCGTCAACAATCAACTGCCGAATCATCAACCGCGGTCGTATTTGATCGGTGGAGGGAAAAGGGTCGTCACTAGACTTAGAACACATTCGATAGCTATTTGCTCCTATTTAGCGCGCGCTATCTAAATTGTTGAGAGGATTCCCATGAAGGGTACGGTCGTATTTACTCGCCGCTGTAAAAGACCGGGGAGTTTTGGAAATAATTGTGGAAAGTGATTGGAAATTGGTAAGTTGACAAGACGGTAGGGTGGAGACTGTGGAGGGTCGAACGAGAGGGAAAGAATTCAAGGGAGGCTGTATTTCCCGGAAATTCTCCCCAGCGGCAGGAAATGCCCTGATAGTGGGTAACCAACCTTGTGAAATCAGAAAAACTGTGAAAAGTCAACAACCGGAGAAATATTACTCTTGCACGAAGAAAAAATTCTCCCAAGGGCAGATACGACCCCCTCTTGAATTACCTAGCAAGTACGGCTCTCTCCCCCACCCCCATTCCCCTTCCCTTCCCTTCCTCTTGCTTCCTCGTATGAGTATCCTAAATAACGTCGTGACCCGCCTTGATAACAAAAATTAAATCTCCCAAAAAATCTCAGGCCCGTTGTGACTCTCCTCCCTCCTGCGACCTCCCCTCCTGCTGGAAATTCCCCCCTAGGACGTGCCCTGTCAGCTAGTTCTCGGAAGAAAGCTTTTGGTCAGTACTGAAGACACGTACCGCTTTTCTTCTGTTCGTTCGGGATGATACATCTGATGAAATGTGGGTGAGTCTGATTGAGCATGTGCATAAGATTATTCAAGGATTCTCGATACATCATCGATACCGTCATGAACGACGCTGATTTTCCCTGAAAATAACGAACTAACTAAAAACGGAAGCACAAAATCATTGCGACGGAACTGATCAGCTCGACCTAGTGGGGCATTTTGCTGGTTCACATAGGTCACTGCCGGTGCTTCTAGTAGGGACCTGTTGACTCTTGTGAAGCTACGCGATAGCATAAGCTTTGCTTACCCTTGACATGAGTCTACCGGTCACCGAGAACGCGTGCAGTTAAACAGGAAACGAAACTAGCGAAAGTGCAGAATGCCCCCCCCCCTTCAACCTCTTTTTACTACCTTTTTGGTTTTTTAAGCCCCACGTTACAGGATTAGCTCGAGAGTCAAAAAGAACAGTTAGGGGAACAGTTGGAAGTTTGCAACCCACCTTCTTCTTCGATGGTGCAGCCTTCTTGCCGAGACTTGCGATATCATCTTGGGTGTTGTAGTCAGCCCACAGCTCAGACATCAACTGGTTTCCAGTGTTGGCTTTCAGAACTGATACAGCCGTGTCATTCAGAGGGTCCTGAGTGGAAAACGATGAGATTCATGTACGATACTCCTCTGCTCTTTTTTACATTATACCTTGTTTTTCTCCAACCATCCTTTCACGTTGTATCGGACAGTGCCGGCATAATGTAACGATGGCCAAGTGTGCTTCGGCCTGAAATAATCTAATTTGATGGATTGCTAGCGTTGGGAGGGAACTGATGAAGACGCACCTGCTTTCCCTTTGGTGGACGAGGTTTCTGGAAATTTGGGTGTTTTCCAAGATGTTGATCGTTGAGCTTTGAGGCCAAGGTCATATCGCTAGCTTTCGGCACGATACATTCTTCATCAAGCATCGAAATAACTCCAAGAGGCTGGAAAGATACAGAATTGGTTTCCTATGCAGAGGTTGTAATTTCCATTCAATTGTTTTCATCTGAAGAGAACTATTGTAAGATACAGTCTCGATAGCTGCTAATGCTGGGGCGTGTCGGGCTGTGTGGTGGGGTGGACGGGGGGGGCAACCCCTTTTCCACCTACCACGAGAGCTGGCAAGCGACAGGGCAAGACAGGGCAGCTAGAACGAGACCGAACAAGGCTGCTTTGTGCAATAGCTTGTGAGATTACGGTGATCGTAACTTTGTACAGAGG